GATTATAGGCGTGAGCCACCGTGCCCGAATAGTTTTTTTTTTCCTTAAATATTCTCTATTTGTGGTTGCTTGAATCCATAGATGCAGAAACCACAGATCCAGAGGGCAGGTGGACTGTATTTTTTCTTTCCACTAGAATGAAAGTTTCATGAGAGCAAGCCTCTTGTTTGATGTAGTATTGTATATCCATAGCCCCCAGAACAGTGTCCAGAATACAACAGGCACTAAGTAAATCTCTGAACGAATGAATATTCTTTCAGTCCTTTTTTATCACTTGAGTATAAGATTATCTTTTAATTACTGTTACCTAATTGAATATACTTACAAGATTATTAAAACTGGGGTCACCTTTTTTTAAATATTCTTAGGAAAAATATTACAAGACCATTTGAGGATCAGACATCTCTGGTAAGTATTAAATCTTTGCTTTAAAAGAGCATATAAATGATTTTTAAGACTAATAAATGTGGCAGAACCTGTGGCTCAGTCAGTAGGGCACCAGCCCCATAAACCAAAGGTGGTGGGTTCAAACCTGGCCCCAGCCAAACTGCAACAAAAAGTAGCTGGGCATTGTGGCAGGCGCCTGTAGTCCCAGCTACTGCAGAGGCTGAGGCAAGAAGCTGTGATGCCACAGCAATCTACTGAGAGAGACAAAATGAAACGCTGTCTCAAAAAAAAAGACCAATTAATGTAATACTCCTTAATTAGTGATTTTTTTTTTAATTAGAGTCCTATAGGAAGGAATTTTGATGTAAAATAGAGAGGAAATAAGACGTTTATACTTTCAAAAATGTACTTATAATTTGTTTGGTTGTTTGTATTTTGGAGACATAATCTCATTTTGTTGCCCTCAGTAGAGTGCTGTGGCATCACAGCTCACAGCAACCTCCAACTCCTGGGTTTAGGTGATTCTCTTGCCTCAGCCTCCCAAGTAGCTGGGACTACAGGTGCTTGCCACAATACCCTGCTATATTTTTGTTGCAGTTTGGCTGGGGCCGGGTTTGAGCCTGCTATCCTTGGTATATGGGGCCAGCACCCTACCCACTGAGCCACAGGCGCAGCCCATACTTATAGATCTTACCTTTCACTTTAGCTATTAAGTTTATTCATTGCTTGCAAATATATTGATAGAACTTTTAAAACTTGAATTACATCTTAAATGCATAATTAATGAATTGTGAAAAGGAAGCTTTCTATAGACTTACTTGTATGAAGCAATTTTGAGTTTTAAAAATCTGACTACTACTTTTGAATATTTAGAA